GCTCGGTCATCTTTGCTTGGGATTGTTTCAGCTCGGTGGTCTTGGCTTCGGCTTCGGCTTCGGCCATGGCCTCCCTTGTAGTCCTTCTGAGCTCCAACACTCGCTGGTGGGCGATGTTGTTCTTCTGAATGGCCTGCAAAAGAGTAGTAGCTTTCTTTTTGAACCGAACTGAAAGTTAGAAAAAATTGGAAGAATGAAAAAGCAAAGAAGAGAATTGCCTACCAGGATCATGGACTTTGTTGAAGATCGGATGGCCTTCAACTCGGTGTTCAAGTGATTGTGGTGCTCCATGTCTTTTGGAAGGCACACACTTTTGGCAAGGTTGAAAGCCAGTATGTGATCCTTCTCAGTGACCACCGAGTCGGTATCTTGGATATCTCGGTTCTGAAACGTGAGCTTGGGAACCCACTTGGAGGCAAATCGGTCAGATGGCTCCGATTGTGGGATTGGTGGGGGGCTCGGCGGAAGGATGGTTTCATTCTCATCTACTAAGCGTGGCTCGGTTTGGTTAGTCCGGGCACGCTTCTTTGACTGAGATGAAGAAGGTTGTTGTGTTGGAAACGCCACCACGGTCTCTTGGGTTTGGCTCGGTGGCGGTACTTCGGGTCTGTTGGTTTCGGTCAAGAGGACCCTGACTCTGTTTTTCTTGGCCATTTCTTCTTCAACGGTCTGTGGGATTAGTCTAATTTCTGGCAAGGTTGGGTCCGGTTCTGGGGCCTCCTCTAGCAGAAAGTCGATCACTCTCGCTTTTCGGCGGCCGCTGTATCTATAGGTCGGTTCGAACTTTAGCAGCTTGGCCCAACTACGTTCTGGATACCGTAGTGTGGCGCGTAAGGTTGCTAGATTTGGGTAACTGTACAGAGACTAGAGGTGGGCAGAATCTACGAAAGAAAACAACTGTTAGTTCGGCTGAAAAATTGAAAACCGAAATATTGTAAAGCACACAAGAAAACCGAAGTAATTATACCAGGTGTTCCTTTTTTCCAATTGATGCTTCGGCCAGGAATCTGGGCTTGGTAATCCTCAAAGTTCCCAGACACCTAGAAAAAATCGTCGTCATTCAAGTCTTTATCTGGTGTGTTTTTTATTATTTTCTCACGTCGACGGCGTATTCTAAGATAGTACACCCAGCTGTCTTCCTTCGAACTAATGGAGTATTGGTGAAAGATTTCGGCCAGACCGAGGTTAAGACCGGCTTGGCGGTTTAGTTCGGCTATTCCCATTATTATACGGTATGAATTGGTGGATAGTTGGGTTAGGCATAGTCTGGTTTGCCTAAGAAACTCACAAATTAAGGGTTGGACTGGAAATCATAGTCCGGTTTCAATTATGGACAAGAGGGTAAAGGGGACAAAGCCTTCATTCCCCCAGGGTGTGACATCTTTTTTGGCCAGGGTAAAGTGTACATCGTCAGGTATGCCATAATCCCTTCAGAATTCAGCTAGACCACTTGGCGTCTCTACTAGAAACCTATACTTCCCTATTTATTGTATGAATAAATTAGTTCGGTCCAAAAATTGTGCTCAGTAGCTCGGTTGAGCGCGCAGAGGAGTGCCTGGACAACCTAAGTCTGCAAAGTGAAGAACAAAGGTGTTAAGCACAGATCATTGGGCTGTGCTACAAATTAAAAGCAAGATAAAAAGAAGGCCTACTTCGACTGTGGGATGTTACAGGTTCTGTCTCGGTTTCTGCAAGGTGATTAGTAGCTCGGTTTGAGCAGGGCTTTTATTAGCTCGGCCTTGGCAAGCGTCTCAATATCTCGGTTGTGGAAACGGTTCTGTTTGACCGGTTGATCGTCTAGGGGTAGCTTTCTGAGTTTCGTCTAAAAAACTAAGAAAGCTGGTTTAGCCCCAAAGGCCTAGATTGGTTGGAGTTCAGGTATCTCAGTATGCTAAGTGCAAACTTAGTTCGGTTGGTTACCTCGACTGAGGTAACGCAAGAAGTGGTTTGACTTATGAAAACTACTGGTGTAAACATGAAGTGTTAGTCCGGTTGTAAACTGACTAGACTTTTACCTAGCTTAAACAGTGTCCTAGTTCGGTTGCATCATGATTTTGGATCAAAAACCAGTTTGCTACAGGATATTACATGTACTCATGTGTTCTATTGTTAAGTTTTTTCCAGAAAAGTACAGAGCAAAGCGAAATGGAAAAATATGTTTTGCAAAAACACAAAAAACAAAATGCGAAAACAATGTGGATGTACAATGCTTATCCGATGAAGAGGTAAGAGCTGGAGAGCGAATAACAGCTATGGAGAACACGAGCTCAAAAGTTGAAGAAGCAATGGAGGCTCAGAGAGGGAAAAGTTGCAAAGTGTGTCAAAATGAAGAGGCTCGTTTTAGGTAAAGGGAAAAAGGCGGGACTGTTCAAATTTCACGAAGTACGAAGACGGTGTGACAGCCGTCCTCAGTCAATCAGAGCATGCCACGTGCCATTAGAATGGGAAGCATTTCAGTCTCTGTGATTGAAGAGACGTTACTACCGGACAGCCAGAGCTCGGTGTGAAAGTAGCTCGGCTGGAAAGTCTAAAAATCTATAGCTCGGTTGGAAAGGCTGAGAGTTTATAGCTCGGCTGGTTGACAGATAATCCCAATCATGCTAGGCAGATGGAATTAAGGGGCAATTGAGAGGGTAATTTATGTGAAAATTGGGCCGAGCTGGATAATGGGCCGTTATGAGCCGCAGTACAAAGGGCCGAGTAAAATGGCCATGTAAGTCACTCCGGTCGTGTGGATATTTTGAAGTTAGTCTGGTCCGACAGAAGATCGAAGTTAGATCGGTCTAACGGTACTTTGGAGTTACACCGGTCTTGACATGTTAGTTCGGTCTAACCACGCCATGGGTTGTGCATGAGAAACCGACGTAAGAGCAGTAAAAGGAAGAGCTAGTTCGGCTTATTCTGCGGCTATGCATAGTCATGTTTACTTCGGTCATATTGGAGTTCGGCCATGATAAAACCATCTCACTTGGTTTAAGCAGTGAGGGGGGTGTTGAAGGATAAGCATTATCTTTCAGGAGTGTGAATCCTAGGAGGACTCTGCATGGAGAAATAAAAGTCCTAGTAGGATTGTGCCACATGGAACTTATAAAAGCTCACAACATCACCTTTGGAGAGGTAACACACAACTTTGTTTTCTGAATACACAGAGCTTTTTGTCTAGTTGCTGACTTAGGCATCGGAGGGGTTTCCAGCACACACCCGCCGGTTAGCTCACGTTTGTGTTTTCAGGTGGCAAAGCAACGACGTTTGGAGGAACGCGGACTTGATCAACAGGATTATACGAGAAGGTTTATTTCTTTCCCGTACACTATATATATATTTTTTAAAATCTCATAATTTATTATTTTTTTATAATGATTCCATGATTTATAATTTAGAAAATGAAAGATGAAAAAAATTATTTTTGTGCATTCTTTCTCTAACCAATTCTTTTTTCTATCCAAAAATCCTAGCCATCATACATTATTTTTTAACTTTCTTTTTATGAGACAATTTGGAGGTTTATGTTTAATCTATTGTATTTTTTAAACAGACTCTTTTATCCTTTAAGTACACCACTTTTTCTTCTTCTTTTTATTTGTGACCATTTTTTAAAATTTTTATATTTCATATTTTGTGTGTCATTTCTCCCTCTTTTCTATTAACCATTATCTGTTTTTTGTTTATAATTATTTTTTGTTAGTTAATATTGTTTTACTAGAATTTTTATACTAAAATGGTATGATAGAGTCATTTGTATAATAAAAAATATGCCATTCATTATAAATTAATAGATCAAAATTTAAACAAAATCATTATTAATAAATTTTTTGTATTATTTTAGGTTTGCATATCATTATTTAAAAAAAATAAATTTACCTTTAATTTTTTTTTAATATCACGATATGCATTAATTGACAGTTGGTGCAGAGTATTACTTCAAATGCATATAATAGTTTTTCAAAATTATAAAAAGAAAATACTAATTTTATCATTTTTTTCAAAACTATTAAAGATGTTAGTCAATTATTTAATTATTTATCTTTAATATGTGCAGCTCCTTTATTCCTTTATGGTACTTCTTTCTTAACTCGAGTATGAGTTTATATGTTTTTAGAAAAAAATTATATGTAATTTAAAATTTTGAATCTTTTTAGGGAAAATTGGCCTAAGGTCCCTCCTCTACTTTTGATATGAGGAGAGGTCCTTTATAATATGTTTTGATGGCTAAGGTCCCTCAAATTTATTTTAGGTTATAAAGTACCTAAATTACCATTCCTTTATAACATAAATTTGTTTGAATATTATATTGTTGACTTAACTGATAGATTTTGGAAACCGAATTTGAAGTGGAGATTTTGTCGGAGTTTTCGTCGGAGATTTCAGTGGAGATTTTATGGTGGAGATTTCGTCGGAGATTTCAGTGGAGTTGACGAGAAAGATTGCTACGATCGTGTTGATTTCGTTGGAGATTTTGTCGGAGATTTCAGTGGTGTTATAGTGTGTTGATCGCGTAGATTTTGAGTGGAGTTGAATCAGGTTTGTTTTCGATGGAGATACCGCATGCATTTTGATTTTTGTTTTGAATTTTTGTTTAGAGAGAGGCCAGCTTGATAGAGTTGATTTTTATTTTTGGAATTAATTTTTTATTCTTTATTTTTTGATCAATTTCAGATAGTGTTGACAGTGTAGGTGATTTTGATGTTTAGAGTTCATTTTTGGAGCTCTGTTTTTTATGAACATGCTGATCAATTTAGGGACAGGATCCCTACTATAGTTTCTTTATAGATAGATACTAGCATATTACCCATGCTGTGCACGAGAGAAAATAATATATTATTTATTAAAAATACGATAACTATATTTAAATAATATAAAATAATTATTATATTTTTAATAAATAATATATTATTTTATTTCGTACGTATTACATGTAGTTATAATTATTGAAATGAGTCTCAAAAGAAGTCCCATCAATCTCTGAACAGTAGCACAGTAGCCGCCCCAATTCCGCTGGGTGGGGGGTTGGTTGCACAAAAAACCGCAAAGGCAATAAATGTGAACAACGCGTATTTCCCTCTCTCTCTCTCTCTCTCTCTGCCCTTTTTAAGCCCGCCTCCTCATACGTTCCACCCTTCAAGCCAATCCCCCACATTCACTCTCTGTCTCTCTCTCTCTCTCTCTCTCTCCACCACATTTGAGAAATCAGTTGAAAAAAATTCAATCCAAAGGTATGCACCAGAGTGATGATCTTTGACATTTTTGGAAGTTGAATTTTGGTTTAAAATACACATATACGTATTTACACATTTTTACGTATATTTTTGTATCAATAAAATCAAGATTTTGTAGATTTCGATCGAGTATTGTACACTTCATGTTCGTGTATATATATATATATATATCTTTCGATACGTTTCTCAGAAACTGAATTTTACATCTTTATAGGCAGCTTTCCCTCGAGGCCAAGAGAAAGTCTAGAGAGACAAACAGAGTATAAAGCCGCAGGGAATTCTCGTTGAATTCTCGCCTTCGGACCGCAATCTGACATCTATGGCATCGTCTTCAATCTCGAATCCCGAAGGCAATTCGAATCGATTACGAGAATTGAAGCCCGAAAAGCGAAGAAAAATAGGGATTGAAAATCAAATCGAAGTGGTCAAGGTCGATAAAAAAGCATGGAACACCGAGTCCGAGCAACAGATCTACTCCGTGAAGCTTCTCGAAGCTCTCCGTCAAGTTCGCCGGAATTCGTCTTCTCCGGCGACTTCTGCTCCGGTCGGCGGCCGCGCCATTCGAGAAACGGCGGACCGAGTCTTGGCCGCCGCCGCCAAGGGGAGAACTCGGTGGAGCAAAGCGATTCTCACGAGTCGACTCAGGATGAAACTCAATAGTAATAGGCATAAGAAGCTGAGGAAACTGAAAGTGACTGGCGATATCCGGTCAAAGATGCCGGTGGCGAGGAAGAAGTTAACGGCTTTGCAGCGAAAAGTGCGGTTTCTTGGCCGGTTAGTCCCCGGTTGCCGGAAACTCTCGTTCCCGAACCTTCTAGAAGAAACCACGGACTACATCGCTGCCCTGGAGATGCAAGTCCGAGCCATGACTACCCTCGCTGTGCTCCTCACCGGCGCCGAAAACTTAGATCGGCATGGCTCCAGTCTATCCCAGCCTTAGCACATGTTATGCCAATCTATTTTTACCTTTTTTAATCTTCAATTTTTAGATTTTTTTGACTTGTTAAATTTACTGCATTTTGTTGTATACATAGAAATTGGTGCAGCTTGGTGTAACTGTTAAAATAGATTATAACTTATAACTTAATAGATTACATATTATGATTTTAATTAGAAGGTATTAATCGGTTTGGTATAATTGTTGAATTATAAATTGAAGTTTCTGAATAATGTTTGTTAAATAAATTGTGAAATAATTTATTTAATTAATTTTTATTTTTTATTTTTTATTTTTTATTTTTTACTATTTATTTACATTTTTTATAAAAAAATAATAATAATATTTTATAATCCATTTAGGTCTTTTTCTATTTTTAAAAAAATTAAAAATACAAAAATATAAGAGTATAACCATAAATTAACATGTCCACAGGAGAAACTAATAATCAAAAATAAGGGGTGAGCAACTTCTCAGAATCAGCTTTTTTGAGTTAAAATAAGTTATTTGAATCAAAAACTGTTTGAAATAACTATAACCAAATAATCCAAAATAATTTTTCGAAAGTTAGAAGTTATAAGTTGGCTCAAAAAAATCCAAACAAACACCTCGAGAATCCCCAAATTATTGATTTTTTTGGTTTATTTATGATTTTTTGTATTTTTAATTTTGGGTTTTGTGTTGGGCTGTGGCTGTGAAGCAATGACATCTTCCCAAATAAAACCGTAATAATTTTCCTCACTTCAGCTCCGTTATCTTGTTCAAGAAAAAAAAAGATCCATTATCCCTAGTCTCTCTCCCAATTTTTTTTAAATTTTTTTTTTTTATGGCCTCTTTTTGCTTTTTGGTTTTGGATTGGGTTGTGTTGAGTTTATTTGGGAACGATTAAAGTGACTAAGGCCTCGTTTTATAAGTGATTTTTTTTGTTAAAAAGTTAATTAGTCATACTAAAAAATCAAAGATTTTCTTTTTTTTCTACTTTTTGCACATATTTTCGTAAAAAGTTAAAAAGTCATTCAAAACATATTAATTTTTTTTAGCTTATATTTTAGTCAAATAGTCAAAAAGTTATTAAATTAGCTTGTTCTCAAACGAGGTCTAAGCCTATGTTTAGGAAGTTAGGTTTGAGATTTTTTTGGTTAAAATAGTCATAAAATATAAAATAAATTTTTTAATTTAATAAAAAAAATATCACATTCAATTTATAATTATTATATTTTTTTCTCATAAAAAAATTAAAAAAAATCAAAAAATTAAAAATTCAATAAATCAATTTACTTCTCAAACGAAACCTAAATAAATATAAGAAGATAAAATAAATTAATTTAATTAATAAAATAAAATATTACATTTAAATTATAATTTTTCCTACAATTATTACATTTAAATTAAAAAAATTAAAATTAATTAAAAATCAAAAAGTGAAGTTAAATTAACACTAATTATTTATTGATTAAATTGAGCAATGCCAACTAATATATATTGTTGTTTTTTTACATATAAAGGGTTGTTTTGGGAAGTTGGTAAAAAGTTAGTTTTTGGTTTTTTACTAAGTTTTTTGGCTTTTTTGGAAGTGATTTGGGAAGTTGGTAAAAAGCTGACTTTTTGCTTTTTAGTTTAATATTTATTTATGGTGTCAAATCAAATTAAAATGACCAAAATACCCTTACCCAACATAAGAGATTTATTTATTTTTCATAGGCCTTAATTTGTAATTTTACGACTGCGTTTTTAGCACTTGCCAAATGACTTTTCTGGTGTTTTTGGAAGCCACGTTTTTGGAGGTATCGGTTTGATTCCTCCAATCAGAGAGACTGCACAACTATGTTGGGATTTTGTATGGTGAATTTTATTGAAATCTATATATATATAGAAAAATGTTTGGGAGCACTAATTAGTGCTCCCACTAATTAGGTGGCAGTGGGTCTCGTTATTAATGATGTGATGTTTTGGTCTTGGAGTTGTATTTTTTTTTTTTTTTACTTTTCAACTTCTCTAATACTTATTAAATTATTTTAAAAATAATAATAAATAATGCTATATAAACTAATTAATGTATTAATTAGTGTATCAATGAATGATGTGACATAATTTAAGAGATTTTTGATATTTATAATTTGTGTAATGGGTAGGGTCAATAATAATATCATAACTAGTATTAGTACACTAGTTAGTATATTAATTAGTGCATATAAACACTACTGAATAATAATTATTTTTCCTTTTTAACTTCTCTCATACCTATTTAATTATTTTGGAAATAATAATTGTTTTTCCTTTTCAACTTCTCCCATACCTATTTTAATTATTTCAAAAATAATAATTATCCCTTAATTTATAGATTTAAAATGAAAAGATAACAAAAATATTTCATAATCTCTCTATTCTAATTTCTCTCATCGTTTTTTTAAAAAAAATATTAAAACTTGTTTTCCTTTTCTCTCTCTAAAAAAATCAAATAATATTTTTCATAAGAATTGTAGATATCTATCTATATTTTATATATTATATTATAACATAACAAAAAAAAATTAAAAATCAGATATACAAACAGATAAAATTAATAAATATGATTTTTATTTATCCAGTTAAAATATTTCTTTTGCCTCTCAATATCCAATTTTAAATTTTAAAAATATTTAAAGTCTATCTAAACAAATCTAATATATCTCACATCATCATACTTTAAATCAATAAAACTCACATATCTATCGTGTGTCTAACTCACATCATAACTTATCTAAATAATAATAATTAAAAATAAATAGAAACTATAGATAAATTAAATTAAAAAAAAAGAAACCCACAACTCCATCTTAAATAAATTTATAAAAAAAATCAAATAAAAACCACAATAAAATAAAGACGATAAGAATTTAGATATAGATCTCAAAAAGATATGACAATATCTAAATTTGAGTTATAATTTAATAATGTACTTATCTATTTTTTTGATGTATATATTAAAATTTTAAACCACTTAATAGGACAAATTAATCAATTTTCAAGTTTTATTTAAAGAATAATCTGATTAGTCATCCCAACTCCTAGACTTGCATTGGCGGAAAAGCTGACGGATTAGGCGAGGCGAGGTCTAAGTTGTTGGGAGATAATATCCTACTACTCCATAAATTTATTTGTTTTTTAATTTTATTTTTTTCTCTGTGTGATTCACTTTCTATGTTGTGGGTTTGGTTTCGGTTTTAGTGAGATTTATGTGTTTATTTACAGATTTACGTGGCGAAGAAGAATTATTGGTGATGATAGTTGCAATCGAAGTATTTATGCCCTTTATGTGCCAAAGATTTTGATCGGATTTTATTTTTTTAATGAAAACCGTAAAATTGAAGTAAAAAAATGGGTATCAATTTTTATTTTTATTTTTATTTTTATTGTCATTTTGTTTTATAGAAAATGTGAAAATTTATTGAGAATTCATATTGTACTATAACGTTATATTTTTGTATGACTAGATAAATTAAAAATTTTAAATATCATTATGTTTTTTTATTTTTATTCTCTTTATATCCTATTATATCAATACTGCTATTTGTTAGTTTGTTAATCATAATTCAATTAATTGAAAATGAAAATTTAGTATAATTTTTCATATATATTAATTAATTTATTACCGCTATATTTGTATATAATAGCATATTATATAGGGATAATTTCCGAATATAATTTCTATTTTTTATGTGATTAAAATAGTATATAGAGGAGTTAGATGACTTCTTTTATCCCCAAAAAATCCAATCTATTTTTTTATACTTTTTAATTTTTAAAATTGAATATCGGTTGTCTATGTCTACAAAACAAAATTGATAAACACATATCCAAAAGCTGCATATTTTTTTTTCCTTTTTCTTTTTTTTAATAGATAGGATATTTACAAATGAAAAATATTTGACACCTCAAAAAACTTTTCATAATCCGACTTATAATAATGTGGTCATAAGTGTCAATTTTTATACAAATATGAGAAGATAATTAATCAAATTATACATTTCAACCAACAATATACTTAAACTTTCACTATTTCAAGATGTCATTTCACTATAATTCTAATTAATAGAATCTTCAACCCTTAATATTTTTTTTATCGAATTATAATTTGATAAAAATTTAAAAAAGATGGAACGTTGGAAATTATTATTTTTTTCCATCAAAATTGATGAAAAGAAAAAAAATGGGATATGAATGAAAGTTCTTTTAAAAATGGATAAAAATTTAATGAAAAAGTTAAAGTAATTCATATCAAATCAAATTTTTTTATTCAAATTTAAAATCAAATTAGATAAAAAAAATTAAAAGAAAATGATGAAAGGTTAAAAATATTCTAAAACCTTCTTGTTCTTAAAAATTAGAAATTTGTGTACGTATTATATTCATATTGTATTTTTAGTTATGCAATTAAAACCAAAGAAATATAATTTAAATTATTGAATTAATAGCCGAAACATCATATCAATTATTGTTAAATATCATTTTATTTCACATTTAATAATAAAATTGTATATTTGTCTTAATTATAACTTTTAAATTTGTATATTTTCATAACAAGAAGAGATATATCATAACTAATGTAACCTCATTTAATTAGATTTAACTTCTTCTTCTTTTTTATTACAAATTATCAAAATTATACTAAATAGATCTCTCTATATATATATTAAGTTTTTTATACTAATAATTTAAAAAATTATAAACATAAAAATTAACTTATAAATTTCATGTTTACCACAAATAAAATATTAAATTAATTTAACATATTTATAATAATTTTTTAATTTATAAAATCTCGTGCATAGCACGGATTACCACTAGTATATATATATATATATATAAAATAAAATTATGTAGTTACGAACACAGTATAATATTTTTATAGTAGTTAAGGTCTCTCAACATTTTTACAGAGAAAATTCAACTCAGAGAAATTTTAGCCAACTCATAGAAATTTTATTTTTTACAAAGAAATTTCTCTGTTATCATACTAGAGAAATTTCTTCTCTGAGTTGGGTGAAATTTTTTTGAGTCGGGGCAAAATTTTGTTTAGTTGAATTTTCTCTATGAAAATATTGAGGGATCTTATCTAATAAAAAAAATGTCTTAGACCTCTTCTACTACATAAAAATAAAGTAGGATGGTTTTTAAATTTATCCTACACACA